CTCTGAGTTCAAGGTTGAGGAGCAGAGAGGGAGGGCTTGGCCAGCAGACAAAAAACTCAGAGTTTAAAAAAAAAAAAAAAAAAGTCTGGCCTATTTTGGGAACTGCAAGTGGCTTAACCCCAGGATCTAGGGGAAAAGTAGAAGCCTGAGATGAAAGCAGACACCAGATTAGTAAGAATTTTGTTGACCCAACCAGAAGCATTGGGCCTCATCTTAAATTCAATGGTAAAATAGGTTTCTGTTTTATAAAATTCACTTTGGCAATGCTGTAGGTGTTGAACTAGTGTTGGGGCTCTTTGGAGACAGGGAGGCCTGTGACGATGATGTCACAATAAAGGCCGCAGCCGCAGCTTTGAGAAAATGGGGGACCAGCTTGAGAGCAATGTGCCCTGCGGCTCCCACACACGGCCTGGCTCAGCAGCCTGTGGCTCAGGAGGTAGAATTTGCAGGTCCTGGTAGCCGTTGGGTGTGAGGTTGAGTAGGAAGCAAGAGTCTGGGACAATCCCAGGTTTCTGGTTATGTCTTGGTGGACAGGATGCTATTCACAGGGTTGGAGCGCATAAGAGGAGCAAGAGGGACGCGTTAAGAAAGATGTGGAAAGTGTTGAATTCTGATTTTGTAAAATCTGCTTGAGGTACCAAAGCACATCTAATGGATGTTAATATTGGGACCTAGAGTGCAGGGAAGAGGGTGGGCTTTGGGATTTTCCGGTGCAGAGCTCGTAGTTCCAGCAATGGTGGATAATATCAGCAGCAAGGGTGCACAATGAAGGTGCAGGTGATGTTGAAAGGATTCATCAGAGGAGGAAAGGTTCAGGAAGGAGAGTAAATGAGGCTAGAAGTGGGAGGCTGCCCAGGTCACAGAGAACCAAAAGGAGAGAGGGGTAAAATACAGGACACAACAGTATCAATACTGCAGTAAAGTCAAATAGGATAAACCCTGAACCATGTCCATGAGGATTTCATAGTTTTCTTCCCCCTTTACATAATGAATTAGGAAAAATACACAAACATCAAGAAAAACTTACCCAATGGTGACTGATAAACAGTGAAAGGTGAAGATGTATACCTGGTTCCCATGGGCCAGATATAAGCCATAAGGGAGGGAAAGCTGGCTGTCTCCAAGTTGTCTAAAATCCAGGAGAAGAAGATGAGGAATACCAGCCAAGAGAAGCTGAAGAAGAGCCCGCCAATGCCTAGGCGCTGCAGGAGGCATGCACAGCTAGTCAAAGCAGATGTGCGTGCCTGTCATACTAAAGAACTGTGGCCAACACCCAGCCAGCAGGGAGAGGAGAGTCTGTGAAGAGCACATTCAAGTTCTCCGCGAGAGAAAGGTCAGCCATAAGCACCTGCCAAGCCCAGAAAGCTCCTTTGTCAGTTCACTAGCTGTTCAGGTCTTTCTCATTCCTTTGCAGCCCCTACCCAAATGGACAAGAGGCAGCTGGGTGAGTAAGGGAAGGAAATTAAAAACTTCTAGTAGTTAATAGAGAAGATATTCTTCTTTTCATGCAGCCTTCCCTCCTGCAGTAGTCCCAAGTAGGAAAGAGAAGGAAACCCAACATTCAGGGAAAGACCTTCCGATTACTGAAATAAGATTGTTTATGTAAATAGAAGGGATCAGGGAACTTCTTATTTCTTAGTATGGCTCTAAAAGTCAAGGGCATCTGCTAGAGATTTCATTCCAATAGGAAGGGAAGAGCCAGCCCCACAGAGAGGGCTTTAAGAGGCATCAAGAGAAGTAGGGTTTTTTTCTGACTTTATCATGCGGGCTCTGCTTGTTCAACGAGAGTTACGTGGAGAGATAGAAAAAGGCAGGGAATAAATAGAAATGCTTTGCCAAAAAAGCAGTAAGAGGGATCCTAACGGAGTTAAAATTGCGTACATAGCATGTCCCTGGGCTGATACGCTATACAGACATCAGGGCCTTCGGACGCACACAGAGGAACCATTGAATAGTCCAATGACTTTTTGGCCCAAATTAAGTTACTATCTTTTATCAATAACACTGATAAACCCTCCCTACCTTAAATTGAAATCACCCATTAACAGTTAATATTAAAATATCTAATCATACTGTGAACACCACCAGGAGCTTTAGCTGGAAGGCAGGAAAAAAACAGTGTGGAGAAGAGGTCTAAGGATAATATCAAGTTGGAGAAGTGGGATTATAGGGCCAGAAAATGAGAGAATGAGACTGAAATGAAGACACAGAGAGAGAGGTTCAGCAAGCCAATGAAGACACCTGGCCAGCACTGATGAAAAATAATAACTAATATGAATAACAGACATTTACTGGGGATACTTCAGACACAGCATCTCCAGTCTTTAGAATTCTATGAATCTAGTGAGATAGTTTAGTGGATGAGGGTGCAGGTTTTACACTTGTAAATGTGCCTGGCATGTTATGAGCAATCAACATAAGTTATACAGTATCCTAAGATGATGCTGGCTTTGTATCATTTTATAGATGAGGACTTGAGACCTGGCTGGTTACGTAAATTACTAGGAGTTGTTCAGCAAGTAAAGGATGGAAGCAGGATTGAAACCCAGAAATCTGACCTCAGGGTCCTCTTCCAACCCCTAATCATGGCAGGCCAGGCTTGGACATTTATCTCTTCTTCCAGCCTCTCTCATGGAGGCCCAGCAGCCTAAAAAGCCTGTTCTGTGTTTCGCCTCAGTAGTGCTTCCTTGCAGTCAGTGAAGGAAGTCATTGAGCCACCAAACCCTAAGTGAAAGGTAAGGCTGGTAGCTGGGAAACCAAATGTAACACTGCCAGGAGTGCTGACCTTTACAAAGGAGGGTTTTAAGGACTGGAAATATAGGGAACAAACTGTGTCCTACTGAAAGTCCAATGACTGATATACTTTCCTTCACTGAGAACTTCTTGAGCAAGAAATAAGAGCAGAAGGAAAGGAGAAGGAGAAAGATAACAATGGCCAGTAGAAATCAGCACATTTCTTACATTGCTGTCACAAATGACTGGCTTCTCCATATCCAGATTGGAACCTTTGGTCCAGAGCTGAACGTCAGGTGAGGCTGAGTCTCCTGAGATGGGTGTGATAGCTGCTTCTCAGCAGCTTTGAGGAGACAGAGCTGATGAACAAAATTATGGTGGGAAGAGGAAATTCTTATGAGAGAAGTGGGCTGCACCAAGACTCTGACTCTCACAGTGATTATCCCAGTGATAGGGGGTTAAATTCCAACCCACTGTCCCCTTTTATTTAGGTTCATTTGAGGTTTAATTGAATATGGCATTATTTATCCTTGTGAATAAACCCTATATGAGGTTTCTGTATCTTCATCTCATGATCATCCATTCAATAAATGTTGGACTGAATTGAACTGAAGGTCTCAGGTCTTCCCAGTGGCATAAGGGCCAAAGCCATATTTCCAATAACCACCCAACAGGGTTCACACTGACGACACTCTTCTCAGACTTAAACCCATATTCTTTTAGCACAAACCTGTTCCCCTGTTTTCTCAGCTCTCATTAACAGTAGCACTAACATTCCAAAACCTGGTGAAACATTGTCCCAAAGAGTTAAAGAAACTAGTCACTAACAGAAATTCTTGAGTTTACATGATGGCAGATTTAAAAAAAAAGAACAACTTGCTGAAATGCTGGCGCTCTCTCCGCTGGTAAGATAACAAAATTGGCTGAAGTCATTGGCGCTAATATGGCAGACTGCAGTCTGAACAGAAAAAGTGTGCTGATGTCACAGCCAAGTTTCCCCTGCACGTTTCATACTAACTCTCCGTGAAGTTGCACATGTGACCCATGAGGTAGCATGAAAAGAGAACTTTCTATGCCTGAGAATTTTTTCCAGACCTCCCTTTTCCTTCCATCAGTCACCTACTAACCCCAGAATCTAATCTCTAAACTTTTCCCAATAAAATTACTGCCTTAAAGCCAGCACAGGCGGGCAGATTCAAGCTGGACTCCTGGCTCCTTGATGGTCGACTTGCAGTAAAAAGCTTTTCTTTTCTCAAAAACCTGGTGTCATAGTATTGGCTTCTAGTACATTGGGAAGCAGCCCTTTAGCTCAGGAGCCATCTTTAATTCTTAATTTTCTGCAGATTCAGTAAATAAGTCCCATGAATCTGCCTCTCTAATGAGATCTCTCTCATGGGCACCCTGACTCATGACTGCCTTCCTTCAGATGTGGAGATTTTCATAATTTTCTTGAAACAGACTGATTCTACTTTTACTTCACCACCCTATCTCCCAATCCATCCTAATACTTCAATACTTTAGGCACAATCATGTCACAATTTTAATCAAAAGTCACTCGTGATTCATTCTTGATGATTGCCAGGATGAACCCGGCTCCCTGTGCCTGAGCCCTACCCCCCCCCCCCCCCCCCTCCCCCCCCCCCCCCCCCCCCCCCCCCCCCCCCCCCGCCCTTTCTCACGCCAGCCTCCCATCACCACTCCTGACACATCCCTATTCCAACCACAAGGACCCTGGTCAGGCCTTTAAAAAGGCAAGGAAGGAATTCTGAGAGGCAAGCCTTCATGTTCTAAGGCAGGATCTGGGGCAAACCAATTGTGTGGGGTGGTAAGAAGAGGTTTCAGAATCTCACATTAGAAAAATGAAGAAAAGAAGAATGTCAAAATGGTTGTGATCAATTCAGGATTTGCTTTCCTAGAAAGGTGGGGAAGGGGCAGGTTCAGAGGAGTTAAATGTTGGAAGTGAAAGAGGAGTCAGAGACCATGTTTCAACAGTGGGCCAGGTTTTTGCTCCTAGCAACAATGAGGCTCCCATCCTCAGAGCCCAGGACTCTTGACTGCAGCCTCATTTTACGAGCCTGAATGTTGAGGGGTCTAGGGAGGGGTGGGACAGCCAAGGGGGGTGAGTCATCATGTCTCTATTCTGGTGTCCAGGATTTGAGTTGTGCCAGGAGCTATGGGGTCACACAACAATCGCTCCTTGATGACGCTGCAGTGACCTCACAAGTGGAGGTCATTGCCCTGCCCCCGCCCTCAGCATCCTCAGAGCTGGGCAGAGGAACCAGAGGGAAAATCCACCTTCCGGGGCACAGCCATACCATCCACCTCACTCGACTGCTTGTCAAGTTCACCACCAACACAGAGGGGTAAGTTGCATTTGGACAGCTGAAACTGGCCATTCTTGGGCCTCTTCTGTCCTGGGAGTGACCTGAAGTACCCCACGCACTGAGCAGGGTTGGGAAGGTCATGTTTGAATGAAAGTTTCCTGTTATTTTCCGTGGCAAGAATCAGGGTGTGCTTCACCTTGTAACAGATTCTCAACAATTTTAGAGTTCAACTTAATGATGTGCCTCCCCAGAGAGCTATACTGATTTTAAAACAAAATTTAAAATGTTATTTTAAATATTATTTTCTTGCTCAAAGAAATCTAACCAATTAGATCCAACTTGAAGTATTGTCAGGGACTGAAAATCCCTTTCCATATCTAGGAGTTAAACTGTCCATACAGAAATACCTAGCTCGGGGCAAAACTCAACAGGGGAGAAAAGGAATTCCTTTCGAAAATCATATTTTGTGGCTCTATCATTCATATTTTCAGCGAAATTGGAATTTCCTGGTTCATCTCCTGATTTCTTCACTTGCCCTGTGGCTTATCAGAGCCTGGATGGAGGCCAGGGAGACGGCAGGGGCCCACTGGTGGCAGGGATTAAATTACTTAATTTAAATTAATCCCTCCCATGGCCTTGAGTAAAGAAAGCAATTCTCAAAGCTCAGGGGACTTGGGTGGGACACAGGGTTGAAAGCAGGGTCCTAGGGCCCCAAGTCTGCTAACGTACCTCCCGTCTAGCCTCAGAAGAATGGGAAGCGGCCTTAGAGGAGTGACACGTGCATTGTGCCATGAATGCCTTGAGCAGTCTGGTCAGACTTAGGGACTCCTTGGAATCGCATTTCTAAATGAATCAAATACAACATAAGGGGTTACAGAAGATACCAACCATACTGAAATACAGTTTCAGTGGGGTGGGGGATGATGCGGGGTCCAAAACCCTAGGTTAAGAATTCCTACTAGAGTCTAAGGAAAGGAAGCAAAGATAAGTGAAAAGAAAGCAAAGTAAGGGTGGAGAGGTTAAGAAATGCTATTTCAAACTCACACAAGGATGAGGACGGCCCTGAGTGGGAAGGTGGTCTAGAGCCTGAGTGCATCCAGGGAAGACTATCTTAAATACAAGGATGAGCTGTAAGAAGCCTGTACGAAGCCTCTCCCACCTACGACCCATCTCATATTTCTTTGCAGGGCTCAGATCATCAAGAAACAATGTCGAGTGATGATAAAAGTAAATCAAATGACCCCAAGAATGTGCCCAAGAATTGCGATCCCAAGTGTGAACAGAAGTGCGACTCCAAATGCCAGCCCAGCTGTTTAAAGAAGCTGCTGCAACGCTGCTCTGAGAAGTGCCCACGGGAAAAGTGTCTACCACCACCCAAGTGCCCGCCCTGCCCCTCACAGTCCCCTTCATCCTGCCCTCCCAAGCCCTGCGCCAGGCCCTGTCCTCCTAAATGCCCTCCTCCATGCCCTCCTCCGTGCCCTCCTCCCTGCCCTCCCCCAGAGTGAGGCACTGTGGGCACCACCCCATCCCACCACCACTGCCATCTCCACTGTGTACAATGCCTGGGGCTGGGAACTGAAACCATGCACTGACAAGTAAACGTGTTCCTCTGCTGTGCAAGACTTATGGTGTTTTGGTGGGTTTTGATTTGTTTTGTTTGTTGTTTTAACAGCACTAAACCACCACCAAGCAATCCCTGTGAAGTGAAGCTAGAACCCTGCACTGTCAACATCCTTTGAGAACTGACTTTCCCTCTGACCCCACCTGCTGCTTAGAGGCAGGTGCCCACCTCTGAAGGGTGTACCTAGGGAATGCCAGGCCCTGTTAGAGCAAAGCCTGAGAGATCCATAAATGTGGCTGCAGCTGTGTAAGCGTCTAACCCCAGGAAGCAGGACAGAGAGGGTATGAAGGAGAAAGAAGAGTAGAGCATTGGTGAGAGTTCCAGGAAGGCTCAGGAAAAGGCAATGTACTGCCTTTCTGTTAGTTCTGTTGCATAATGCTTATGCAGAAGGGCTCTGAGTACAGGCGGCACAGGTTTAAGAAACTGTATCTCTGCTCCCTAACACCTTGTAACCTTAGCAAATTGCTTAACTTCTTTGTGTCTCGGTTTCCTTCTCTTTGCAAAAGGAATGATGATGCTAACAGTACTGTTGTTACAGAGTTGTTGTGAGGCTAAAGAGTTAACAAATGCCAGGTCCGGCGCGGTGCGGTGGCTCACACATGTAATCCTAACAATTTGGGAGGCCGCGGCAGGTGGATCACCTGAGGTCAGGAGTTCGAGACCAGCCTGGCCAACATGGTGAAACCACGTCTCTACTAAAAATACAAAAGTTAGCCAGGTGTGCTTGCACATGCCTGTAATCCCAGCTCCTCAGGAGGCTGGGGAAGGAGAATCATTTGAACCTGGGAGGTGGAGGTTGCAGTGAGCCGAGATTGTGCTACTGCACTCCAGCCTGTGTGATGCAAACTCCATCTCAAAAAAAAAAACCAGGTTAACAAATGCCAAGTACCCAGTTTACAGGGGCATAGTGAGTTGGTAAGCCTGAACTTAATTTCTTTGTGTATCTCTTCTTAGCCTGTAATCTCCTGACCACAGGAGTCAGGCTCTTACATCTGTAAGCATAGAGCTAGACATTCTTTAAAAAATAATCAAAAATGAGTAATGGATTATTCCAATACCTGTTACCTGGCCCTGACGCTGCACTATGGGTACATAACATTTCATTATTGAAAGAATCCCAGTGAGGGGTATATGAAACCTCTATTTTTGCAACTCTCTGTGAATATAAAATTTCAAAATAAAAACAAGTACAAAAAAAATAGATATTGTACATATCTGGGAGAACCTCAATTCGGAATGAATAGGGAAAGCATTCATAGCTGACGTGTTAGTAGGGATTATTTTTACAAGTAGCTAGAGAGAGTCCATGTCAAACTAGCTTAATTCACAAAACAGAATTTATCAGCTCATGCTGAGAAGGATTTGGAGGCAGGGCGTAGATTAAAGGGAGAACTGTAGGAATCAAGATTTCAGGGCCTAGGACCAGGGATCCACTCCACCATCTCAGCCAATCTCATCTCTCCCGCCTCTACAATGCCTCAGAGTATGTTTCATCCTCTCCTAGAGCCTCCCCACCATGCAGTAAGGTCCTGGGCCAGTCGTAAACCCAGCTTGTTGACAGGTTGGGCACGAGGATGTTCCTATTTTCACCAGAAGAGGAGCCTCATTGCCTAGAAGAAGGTCATGAGCACAGCCCCGTGGTCAGGCAGATGACAGCGCTTTGCAGCACAGATAAACCAGTTGTGAATGGTTTCAGTGCGCTGCGTATCAGTAGTGATACAGTGCACAGCATTTCAGGATTCCCTGCTATCACAGTAATAGATAACCGAAGAGCCAAATCTGGGATGGCTCCCTATGAAACCATGGCACAAAACTAGCTCTCGTTCTTCTGAGCCTGGAAGATGGTTCACACGGCAAGGGTGAGGCAGTACAGAGTCCAAAATGTGTCAAAGAAAAGATACCTGGGCCCCCACCAGACTGAGGCTGTACAGTCAGCCGGTGACACAGCGGGCTTTTAAGGCACTACCTGCTCGTTTTCCAGGTGTGACGTGAGGAGACCTTGGGGTCTCAGGGTCTTCTGAGGCACTGAGGTTCTTATGCTCTAGAACCCTGCAGAGAGGCACTCACTGGATGCCAGGAGACTCTGAAAGTCTAGTTTTGAGCACTGGAGACTGTGGTCACAGGTAGAAACCCATTCAGCTGTAGGTAACAGGTAGAAAACCCTTCTACCTCACAGGAAGTCAGAAAGGAGGAGAGACGGGGAAAAAGGAGAGAGAGAGAGAATAGAACGATAACGTGGCATCTTCACCCACGGTCAACAGACCATCCTCAATTCAATGGCCACTTCTAAGTAATAAATCCCAGAACCCAGTGCTAAAGAGTGTGCTACAGTTGGTGGGAATATAAATAGACAAAAATCCTTTTGGGGGGGTGGATTATGGGAATACATATCAAGGAATGTGGGAATTTACATCATCAAAAGCATAAGCTGATTCAACTCTTCGGCCCAATGGGTCCACTTCATAGACCCTATTCAAAAAAAAAAAAACACATTGCAAAATGGTGGGTAGGGGAGCTACAGAAATAAAGGTGATTATCACAGCAGAACTTAGAAACAATTTAAATATCTAACAACATGAACCTTTTATATGATGAAACATTATGTTTGAAGATATTAAATTTAATAATACATTAATAAACTTATTTCATTAAATTTAATAATTTTAAAACATTAAAATGAATTTTAATTTATTTAATTTTAATATATTAATTAATCCATTTAATACATTAAAGTGAATTAAAGAAAGTAAGGCCTCAATTGAACATATAGCATAAAGCCATTATCCTTAATCAAAAGCTTCTTTGATAATAGGAATAATGATAACAAAAGGAAATTTGTGGATATTCTCATTAAGACGATGGGGTCATGGGTAACTAGTACTTTATTTTTATTTTCATTGGTTTCTGGATTTTCACGTTTTTGTTTTGTAATAGAATAAAATAGAAATAATCATGAAATAATCAACAATTTATGAAATAGTCATGACTACTTCAGAGACCCCCGAAGTCCTTTATTTTACTCAATGTACAAAAACAGGGAAGGAAGAACGTTTTCGGGGGTGTGTGCCACAGCGGAGTCACCTCGCCCGTGGATGCCTTCCCTCCAGGCACAGGATCTCAGTCCCAGGCCACGGGTAGCTCCAGGGGAGCACGGGTCAGGGGTCTGTGCCCTCCCAGGTGGTTCTGCAAACTCTGGGCACAGGCTAGGAGGAGGCCAGCTCTGGGAGCATGAAACCATTCATGGCCAATTTAGGTCTTGTTTCTCCCATGTGAATGGAACCAAAGATAGACATCCCTTAATGGCTACTTTCCCAACAAAAAGCTGGATCAAAGGCAATTCTGGGGAGATGCCAGGAACATGATGAGGGTGCCACCTCCCTGCAGAATGCCATAATTACTCCCAGCCCCAGCGGCAGTCACCGGGGTTCTGCCCCAAACAGTAGAGGGCTGTATACGTAAGCAACGCCTGAAGAGCAGCATCACGAGAATCTGTGCAGCACCAGGCTCGATGGCTCCCAGATAACAAGACGGGCAGGACCAAGGCCTCTCCCTTCATGACAAAGCAGTTCCGGGAATCCATTGAGAGGGTCACAAAAGGAGACTCCCCTTCGCCTCGTGCTTTCCTGAGAATCAGGCAGAGTACAGCTAGCCTTCTAAAAAGGTTTCTAAGCCCTCATCAGGCAACTGGCTGTGAGGTGGGCTGGCGCTGTGAGGGCTGGGCACAGGACCACAGGAATGCCTGGCTTTGAAGCTGGAAGGAAGCTTAGAGACCATTTTTCTGCATCCCCTACCTCCACGCATGAATGGCAACTGGGGAGAGGGGAGGAAGTAACCAGTTACCAAACGTCCTATTTTTCCTGTCCTGTTCCCACATGACCAAAGATTGCAGCTCAGCTCACGAGCACAGGCACATTCTAGAAGGCTTTATTAGTGAAAAGTCATAACCGCTTCCATGTCACACGTGTTGGTGCTCAGCAGATAGAGCAGTAAATACACTAAGCCATTTGCCAAACGTGTAAAGATTCTAAGATACAAACTGATCGTAAAATGCATACCGGGATATTTTCAGCTGCACCTTTCTTCCAAGTGCATGAAACCACAGATGTCTCATCTTCAGAGCCGTATGCTCCCTCCCAGGCTCAAAGGAAAGTCTTCCCAGACTAAGGAGTCACGATTCTTTCCCAGAAATGCGCTCATGATCCCTCACCTACACCATTCAACCCTCCTAATTGGCTTTCAAAGTTCACCTTCCTCCAATCCTTACTCCAGTGGAAGCCAGCCAAGGCAGTCTCGCTAGAATTCAAATTTACACATGACGTCTTTGCTTAAAACCCTTGGGTCTCCCCTTTGCCTAGAGGGCAGCTCAAGTAACATTCTGTCAAGCAAAAGTCTTCAGGATCTAGCCCCTGCCTCCTTCTCTAGCCACAGAGCCACTTCTCCATCTCTTTTTAGAACCTTACAGCCCAGTAACAGGTAACTGCTGGCATTTCCTGGCACACGGCAGAGAATCTCTAGCCTTTGTGACCTTACACTCCTTTCTTTGTCGGTTCTCTCTGCCTCCACTGAATCTTCCTCTGAATGATCCACCTGGGTGCATCCTCACCCTTTAACTCAATTCGGGGGGCACCTGCTCCAAGAATCTTCCCCATGTCCCACCCTCAAGCTGGTTAAATGCCCCTCTCTGTGGTCTCAGAGCTTCCATGCCTCCCTCTCCTCATCACTCCACATTCTGGCCATGTGTCTATAACCTGACTGTCCCACCACCTTACCCTTTGAGAAGGGGCAGCCAGGCACACATAGCAGACATGCAGTAATAACCAAGGAGTGGATGCTCAGTGCCTACAGAGTCACTTTCCCAAACAGAAGGGAGTGGCTCTGCACTGAGCCCCTGTCCTCTGTGCTCTTTAACCTCATGGCACGGAGTCATCTCCAGAACGCAGCGGTGGGGAGAGGGGAAGGGGACTCACATGAGGGACCTGGGGCTGAAAGTCACTTCTGGCCCTGG